AATGTTGTATTATATCCGAGTCAACATGATTCCGTTATCCTAATAATGACAATTAAATTCCCTATCCAAAGATAATACTTCTGAATCTAATTTGAACCGCTTCAGCTTGTTTTTCACATAAAAAGGATATTTAACTTAACGTCTAGATAAACAATTCCTCAGGCAAGCACTTTAATCTTTTTGTCTAATAAAAGAGTTTTCTCTTCCTACAAACATTGTCTCCATGAAATTTCCAGTGATGTAGCACCAAAGCCTTTATTTTAATATGGACTCTATTAAGGAAACATTCAAGTTACTATGTCAATAAATAAAAGAGAACAGTATCTGACAAATATCAGCACATCAACACATTTACATTTTATTACTTATAGTCTTTGCACTAAAATGCTGACCCACAGTTTTGTGTTTTTTAAAAAAAGGAAGAATGGATAAAAAAAAATATGTGGATGGCAGGGAGATAGGGACTCATTCACAGCTTTTTTTTACAGTCTGCACTGTAAGATGTCTGAACAGAGTACAATGTCCCTACAGGAGGCCACAACACAACTCTCACCATAAATTAACCTCATATAAGACCAGAATCTATCGAGAAGGACAAGTCAGCTCTTTATGGCATACACTCTTAAAAATAAAGGTGCTTCAAAAGGTTCTTCAAGCGATGCCATAGAAGAACCCTTTTTGGTTCCACAAAGAACCATTTAGTCAAAGGTTCTTTAAAGAACCATCTCTTTCTAACCTTTTTATAATCTGAAGAACCTTCTTTCGCCACAAAGAACCTTTTGTGAAACAGAAATGTTCTTCAGATGTTAAAGGTTCTTTATGGAACCATTTAGACAAAAAGGTTCTTCTATGGCATCGTGAAGCACCTTTATTTTTAAGAGTGTAGTTAATCATGAGACATGAGGGCAATAAAAAATGAGAAATCCCAAACCCTCAAATCCACCACAGTTTTACTATCTATAGCGAATTACATTTTTCCCTTTTGGCAAACAATTCCTATTCATATGTTTCATCAATCCAAGGGAAAACACCATCTTAACATCCACAGAGGTAGACACAAAGAGCAAGGCCTATGCATGCACTCCCATCCCGACCAATAAAACGCACAGATCCTTTGAGTGAGTTGGGCAGTCAATGCTTGTTTTGATCCCCAGCATACTGGCAGCACAAAGAGGGGAGCTGCAGGAAGTTGTGTAGCTCCATTAAATGGAACGGCTCGGTGACTCACAATGTAGAGTCCACAAACAGCACTTCAACCCCAAACAAGACGAAGATTTCTCTTTTATTCGGCTACTTCTTCAGCTTCCTTCATGCCGTACGAGGGTTCAAAGTTCACGTCTTTTAGCGCATTCACCCACATTCCTTTGGGCCCAGTCTGTTAAACCAGTCCATTTGAGGCAACTAATGTGCCAATCAAGCCTGTGGTACCAAACCCCAAAAATTTTCTCTTAATCCACTCACAGTTCATTATTTCCAAAATGTGATAGATATTCATTTCCTTGACAGACATTTTATGGCTAAAGAGAGCATGTTGTGATAATTACTGTATGGCACTGTACAGTAAATCAGTCCATGGCCCAGATGGGACTCCCACTAAAGTGTTTGACCTGCATCTGGCTAGTGTACAACATCTCACATTTTGTGCAGTGTGAGAAACGTAGCCTCACACTTCATCATCTATGGCTAAAACGGGGCACAGACTGACCGGGGCAATTAACTCTCCTCAAGGGCTGATAACAGACCGAGAACCACCGAACAAGGCCACAGTGGAGGCACTTGAAAGGCTTTCTCTCTTTTTTCATTACACTGCACCACCTTGCCTGCAGATGAGAAGGATGTCTTCGTTAAAAGCTTGATCGACTGCATCTTTTCATACAAGAGTACAAAGGAAATCATTGCTAGTGTAGAATCGAGAACTTACAAGTTAACACCAAGGGGACGACTTGGAATTAGACTGACTTGTATGAATAAGTTTTGATAATAACGTTCTAGAAAAATTAAAAAATGTAATAAAACACTATCTTGACAGTTTCCTTAAAGGAATATACAGAGTTCACAGTTGAAGAAATAGTTCACCCAAAAATGAAAATTTTGTCATCATTTACTCACCCTCATGTCGTTCCAAACCTGTAGTTTCTTTCTTATGTTTAACATAAAAGAAGTTATTTTGAACAATTTTGAAGAACCAAACAGTTCATGGTCCCCAATGACTTCCATAATAGGGAAAGGAATACTATGGAAGTCAATGGGGACCATCAACTGTTTGATTACCAGCATTACTCAAAATATCTTCAACATGAGAAAGAAACTGATACAGATTTGGAACGACATGAGGGTGAGTAAATGATAACAATTTTCATTTTTGCATGAACAATTACTTTAAGCTCAGTCAACAGCATTTATGACAATTTTTGTTTTCTTTTTTAAAAATTATAATATATATAATTTAAAACTATTAATTTTTCTGTTAAAACATGCACATTATTTAAGCTATAAACTTGTTCTTGTCATTTTTATGATCATTTAATGATTCTAGGCACTATGTTGTCCTGGCAATGAACTGTCGTTAAGTTGTATATACGGAAATAGTAAACAAATTTATTTTTTCACACTGAAATCTTGTTAACACACATACTGTTTACGTCTTTTGGTTATACCATTACAACACTGAGTATATTAGCATTTACAGATTGGCCCTATTAACTTCAGTTGTAAATTATGACTGTAATGTTTATGTTTATTTTTAAACAAATGAAGGAAAAAGTCATTTTTGTGGTAAATTAACATTATGCCACAAGTGCTGTTGATTGAGCTTAACTTGCCCGTATATGACCGACCAGTCTAACTAAACAACATGTTGGACAAGGCTTCCTCACTGTGAATGCTCTAGGAAGTAAACTGAAAAGGAGGTTAAAAGCTCAGCTGAAGATTATGAGAACTGAAGGTTGTGGTAATGGAACACAAGCAACACAAGAATGAACAACCCATTACAAGATCCAGATGCCACAACATATAAGAGGAACAGCACATGTTGAGGGACCTCCTCTTCAAAGACTTCCTAACACAAAGGCACTGCACTGCAGAGAGCTAGAAATTGGAAATATGCCTCATTCAGTACCAAGGGGAACACTGCATGATTAGAAAGCAACTGCCTGACACAAAGTTCCTCTTTTAAAGTGCCCGCAGCTCGCTGTTGTTAGTATATTCTGACAACTGACATGATGTCATACAGCACAAACAAATACAGTAAACATGAGTAACAAACAAAACATGGTTTAGATAAGAATCTCTGGTGCTGCACTGTACATGACTCAAATGCACCACTATGCAGGTGTAAGAAAAAAAGTAAAAAGATGGTTCTTATCGTTCAGTGGGCACTGTTGTACTGGAAGAATGAAGCTCATTGACATCTAAAGCTATCTGTAACCATTGTGAAGTCATGAAACAAACACTAAAAGATGACCTCACTGGTTTATAGATTCCTTGCTCAAAGTAAAGTGTAAGAACAGAATTCTAGCTAGTTGCGCTCTAAATGCATAAATCATATCAGTTTATAAAAGCAGAATCCTAATAATCATGGAACCTCATAAGTGACAGACTTGACACTGCAAATCATTTCAGCAGTTTTGCATTAGCATTTTGCTGAACTAAAAGTGTGATATAGCTTAAAGGGATAGTTCAGCCAAAAATGAAAATTCTATCATTTACTCACCCTCATGTTGTTCTAAATCTGTAAAACTTTTTTTGTTCTCTGGAACATTTAAAGATATTTTAAAGAATGTTGGTAACCAATGTCAGTTCCTATTGATTTCCATTATATGGACAAAAAAATACAATAGAAGTCAATGGGAACCAAAACTTTTTGGTTACCAATATTCTTCGAAATATCTTTTTTTGTGTTCCACAAAAGTAAGAAATGCATACAGTTTTGGAACACCATGAGGGTGAATAAATCATGACTGAATTTTCATTTTTGGGTGGACTATAGTACAGGACACAAATATTGGGTAAAATAATAAATTTTACTTAGACTGAACTATTTTTATGGATATCTTTGAATACTGAATGAAACATTTCACTCGTCTTGTCTGCCATTTTGGATTTTTCCCCCCACCTTTACTCACCCTTATATCATTCCAAGCCTGCACTGTCTTGTAGATATTTTAAAATGTTTTTTTCCCCCACAAAAAAACACTGAAAGTCAATGGGGTCCAATGTTGCTGTTGTAGTTGTTGTTGTTTTTTAATCTGAATGCACAATTATGATCCATGATGTTTTTGAGTAACCTTTAGGATTATTAAACATCTAATGACTTGCTCTTTTTTAGCTGTTATGTTCAGTACCTGTGCTAATTAGTAAAACTACAGAAAAACACTGTTGGTTCCTGCATTGTACCTTATTCATGTGTCTTTTCTTTTGTCCACAGGCACAGCTTAGAGTGCCCTCCCCCTTGGTTCTGATTTCTATGCTCTTCCTTTGCCTTGGGGGGCCTTGCAACAAGGGGCCTTTGCTAGCCCAGCCTGAAGAGTGATGTCCATAGCACCTGCTGGTTCTTCAAGCAACTCTTCTTCTGTCCACAAAAAACCAGGACAAGCCACTCACCCTCAGCTCTATGAAGAATTGTGGGCCGGGAACGGGGGTGGGGGGTATTGAGCCCGAGCTATCAGATTCTGTCTCTCTCTGTCTGTCTCTCTCCTCCTGTGGTTTTCCTCATTTGCTTTCTAGAGCCCTTTCATGGCCACACTTTGCATGATGTGTGAGCAGTGGGGAGCCTGGTCTAAACAGTTATAGTCTGAAAGCGTCAGTTTCTTCTCCGAGGTGTGCTAGTCCCATTCTCTCCAGTTTGTAGGTGACCACAGCGCTTTGACCCATTGCTAGGTGTTGGCAACTCTTGGCTTATAAATGGCGTTTACAAGGGAAGAAAGTGGCAGGGAATCTAAAGTAAAGGCACAAATGCTCAGGCCCATTATGGCCAGGCCAGCAATGTTAATTTTTCTTACACATCTTACATCAATTTACCATCTACCTACAGCAAAAATTGGCCAGTTAGCTTAATAACGGCATCACTGAGTGCATTTACATGGCAAACTGCTCACAAATGCAATTATCAAAAATGTTTTCTTATAAAATCCTGACAAAAAAAAATTTCTTAATGAGATCAATTTTGTTTAACTCATCAAGTTTTGGCGCCAAAATGTATGCACATTGTATAAGCATCCAGAATGCTGATTGTAATGTAAATGCAATCAATGTTATCGGGTTCAGTTATAATTACTGATTACATAATTACCTCTAAAAATGTTGAATGACTATATAATTCATTGGCACATCTATTTAAAACAGCTTGATTACATCTCATAGTGCTGTCCAACGTTCATTATACATCATCCTACCAATGAGCCTAAGAGTTGTCAGCCATCTGAAGCTTAAGGATAAAGCCACAGTGTCTCATTATCAAAAATCACACTCCACTTCCATGAGCGAGAGATCATCGTCCTTAGACCTCTTCTCCTCCCCCATGACACACGCTGCTTTACAGCAGAGATACATGACTGTTAACTGGCCAGGGCGATCTGCTTCACATGGCGGACCATCTCTCCTTTTAATGAAGTGCCAAATAGCAAATCTACTCCACAGTGCTGCCAGGAGAAGAAAAGTAAACATGTTACCTCTTATCTTGGGGGAAGCATAACATCTAAACATATGTACGCATTTTGCCATTTGTTTGAACACCCAATGTAAAGGCAACGGTAGCATGGTTTTAAGACATTAGACCAAAAAAAAAAGAGAAAGAAATTTTCTTTACAGATCTGATGATTTTCCCCTTGACTGGATTCTTTGACAGAACTCTATGCCTTTATTTCACATCATACTGGAAATGATTTCTCATTCTTTTGTTGTTATTTTTGTTATATTTCAGTTAATTTCTCAGGGTGCTGTGACACAAGCCTGTATGGTCTATATTACATGCATTTATTTAAGAAACACACATTATTTTGTATTCACACCATTTAACTTCATGCTTATGTATCCACCACTTTTTAGCTACATATCCAGACTACGTTTTTACAAGCCATTACTGTTTTCCCATTGGGAGCAGTTGCCTTTTGAGTTTGAGCCTCTTTGGCACAGGTTGCCACAGCCTGGTTATTAAACCCCATTGCTAATCGGTTTTAAATTGGAATCACTAAAATCTCTTTCAAGTCCGATAGAGCTCACAAGACAAACTGGCATAGAATGACCACACCACCTTAGCGTTCAACCGATTTATGATGTAATAATATACAAAAATGAGCAACTCTTGTCTTACATCGTCAAACCTTTCAGTAAGACACAAATTATGAGGCTGAGATGAGACTGTTAGCCACTCATAATTCCGATGCTTAATTAGACAATGCAGCAAGTTATTGCAAATTAGCATTTGAGTCCCATCCCCATTTCCTGTTAGGCGTTTCCCTGTGGTTACGAAAAGAGAGTCGTCGCGTATATCCACAAACATCACCTCACGGCAAAATCAGCTCTTCATAAGAGAGTGCCTAAAAACCTACATCAGTAAAACACCCAGCCAAGCTCACCTCGATTAAAAATGTATCGAATCTTAGGGCACTGCATACTAATAATTCCAGTCACGCCATGATTATTTTATACCCTCTCAGACAGAGATGTGGATTTTATTAACGCTTTCTCAGAATGATAGTGCTCCCGAGAGCTCTGCTTCATAGATCAGTAGGTCAGAACGCAGAGAAGATCCAAGTTTGGGCGGCTGAGTTGCAGTACACTTCATCTGAAGAGTCTGTTAGAGGTGCGGAGTAATGCCTGTATCCATACTGTTGTTCATGAATGTATCTTCACCATCCTCACCAGAGCTGAGCTGAGGGCCGTCGAGCAGTGTTTCAGTTCAGTTCAAGCCTTGAATCTTGAAAAACTAGCCCCCTTCCCACCGATGGAGATGGTTATCGTTTCATCAAACATCCAAAGACAAATATGACAAAATCCAAAGCTTGCTATAGCAGAGACCCCTATCAATCACTTGGCTTTCCTCCAACACCTCTCTGTATGGACATGCAAGGCTGCACTTTTGCAATTCCATTATGCTGCTGGAAAAGTAAATCCTGAAAACAAGTCTTTTGGCATGTAATGGTTTTCCAGTGTCTTGTGACAATTAAATTGACTTATTCTTGTCTAGCTGGTTGTCCAAAGCCTACTTTTCGATAGAGTGTGGAAAGCTGTATTTTATTTTTGTGTGTATGGCCGTATAAAAGTGTAGAAAATATAGTCTGCTCCACAATATGTCATGGACACAAAAGAGCTTTCTCACCCTCCTCTGCCGTCAAACCTGGGCCGTCGTCCCCGTCAGCACATCAGGTTAATGGAGCTTGTGGTGTCAAGAGAACAAGCATGGCCAGACTCAAAACTGAAATGGCAAACACACACATTACTCTTACAGAGCACAAATCACTTTCTAGAAATGTTTTTTTTTTCTCTCACATGAGAAACTCATTCTTACTCGATCACGTGTTTCTGCCCATCATAAGTCCTAAGCACTTGTACGCACGTTCCACATAATCATTCAGAAGTCTTTAGTTTAAGTACAGACCTTTGCATGGGAGAAAGGGATCCAGAAGCTGTTTGTATGTTAAAAACAGAGCTGTGATGATTGATGCGTTCCCCTCGGGTCTTAATCGACGTATAAAAGCAAAGGATACAATACAAAAAATCCTCTGTCCTTGTGATTCATTGCAAGACATTCATTAGCGGACACTGTTCTGCTTTCATATTTGACACAGAAAGAGAAAACGCCCATTTGGCCGCTTGTTTTCCATTATCTCGTCACGGTGCATGTAAAATGTGGTGACCAGATCGAGTAACTGAAATCCAATCCCAACAGTTCACCAACTGGTTGGGACGCTAAGAATGATCCGATTATTCTGTTGCTTCGAACAAGACTTCACACCCATAAAGAGCTCTAAACTTTATCCAAAACACGCATCCATACTCATGGCCTGTTTGTTCAGCACACCCATCCATTTCAATTCTCAAAATCTGTAGTCAGGCCTGGCATTTCAACAGTATTAGTGGGCCACGTGAAAAGTAGTGTAACGGCAAGGTATTATTCCTCCTCTTTATTCCTGTTGGAGGTGTGTGCTCATCAAACTCACCTAGCCAAATGTACAGTCCCTGTCTCTGTTTTGATGTTGAACTGGGCAAAAACAAATGAATAAATAAATGAATTAAACAAGTGTATCAGAAATGGTTGAAATACTGTGTACATATTTGAACTTTTGGTTTCTAATTTATAAAAGATCAGCTTTAGCTCTTGGAGTACTTATTTTATTTTTTTCCTTTCATGCGTAGCTTTGTGTTTTTATTTTCTATTTCTGTAAAGTGTGTAAATATATCTTTATGATAATAAGTAATATTAAAAATCTTATTTTAAGAAACAAGTGTGAGTTTGTCCTTTTTCTTAAAACAATGCAACAAAAATCATGTCATTCATAATTATTTTTATCATGTTGAAAAAAAGATACATTTTCTACCCCATTATAATATTAACCCACGATAAGCTAAACATTTATGATCTAGTGATCACTACAGAAATCTTGATTGGATAGTGACCCAAAAAATACAATTCTGTCATCATTTTCGTACCGTCATGCATGTGTAGGACTTTCTTCTTTGGGACACAAAAGAATAAAGCTTGAAACATGAATACATTAAAATAAAATGGTCCATTGTAGTTTTATACCACATTTATGTTCACTGTATTGACTGAAACATTCTTCAATAAAAAGAACAAATGAATGGTTTATCATAATTATGACATAAAGAGTTAAAATTATGAGACGCATGAAAAGAAGTCAAAATTATGACAGTCATAATGATGACTTAGTATCTTAATTATCTCATCATTTCAACTTTTTGTCTCATAATTACTTTTTATGACATAATTATGATTTATCAAAGCATGTTTTTTTCCATATATGGCCAAAATTAGCTTATATAAGACATGTACTCCTTTCTTTTTCTGTGGAACACACACACAAAAAGACAATTTGTCCATAAAATGAAAGTCAGTGGGGTCTAATGCTGTTTTGAACCCCAATGGCTTTCATTGTATTTGATGAAATTAATAACAGAAAATTGCCCCAGGAACATAAATTGCCATCAAACTACAAATAATTTTGTGACTACTCCATTATTTGACATAAAGCTTAAACTGAGGGAGAGAGAGAAAAATCTATATATACACCAGAAAAAAAGATCTATATGTTCTGTCTGCAGGCCATCGTTGCTGCTCTGTCCATTGGGAGCAGCTCTGGGAAGTGTCTGCTTAGCATGGTGAGCTGACATGGCCTGACAGGCAGTAGGGTACCCCACGAGGTGATCGCACCCCGATCCGGAGAGGTTATGTCATCAAACCCGGGTCAGCTGTATAATTGGACCGGGGGTCAGTGAGGTGATATGGAGCGTGACAATGAAGCTCTAGTTACAGTGCAGATCTGGCTGGGGAGGCAGTTATGTACCCCAGACTGCTCAGAAATCAGCAAGGAGTCTGCTCACTCTCACTGCAATAAAAGGTGTCACCGATTCCCATTAAAAATAACTTATGGATTGAGTTGACAACTCTGGACCCATGAAGACGTAAAGACGTTTTAGTTATCACAGGGTCTTCTAAATGATGGAGAAAAAAAAGCTAAGATGTTACAACTTTAACTTCAAGCCAAGACACAGCAGTAACATCTGGTGCAGCCCTGGCAACAAGCCTCTGGTCTCTTCTGCCACACCATAAAAGCCTTATTATTACCTGTCTGTGTGAAAGCACCACCAGCGGTAATATCGGTGGGTGTTTTCTGCTTTCCAACTCAGTCACTTCTAATTAATCAGCCACACTGATACATAGTGGATCTGACAGCACATTGTCAAATCACTGCCATTCCAAACGTCAAAACTGCAGAAAGAACAACATCACGGGCAATTTAGCACATTACAGCCTCCAAGAGCTGCCACTTGGACTCCTGCGCGGGGTCTGCGGCTGCACTGAAGTGGAAGGAAAACACAAGGGACTGCAAACAGAGCCTGGAGCCAGGTAAGGAGCAAGAACAACACAGGCCTAATGCACCTCAGCTGTGTTAACAGCAGCCATCCTGGGGAGGGGATGGATCATTGACGTGAAAAAAAATATAAAATAAAAAATGCTACACAAATGCTAAGCGTTGGGGGTGAGGGGGTTGTAGCGAGCCAGCAGGGAGCTGTGTAGGAGAGTCTGTGTCATTTTGAGAAGGTAGTCGGAGGCTTGAGTTCGGTTAATGCTCTAATCAGGGTGCCGAATTTTTGCGATTTGCTCAAAGAGCCCCCTGGGAAGGACCTACTCTGATGGACCGGTATAGGAGAAGGTGAGTGGGAGCAAAGAGAGGTGGAACACATCCTGGAGTCATTTGCCTCACCACTGAACCAAAAACCATTGCCTGGGATTAAACACACAGGGAGAGGCTTCAGCTTGACCTTATTAGTATTCATAGGTACTTGTGTTAACTTAACACAAGTGTTTATAGATTTGGATATACAGGGTAAAGTACAATATGGACCTACTGACAGCATCTAAACCTAAAAATCTTTATGAATCTTTTGCATTTATTATTTTAAATAAACACTGTTCTTTTAAACTTTCTATTCTTTAAAGAATCCTGAAAAAACTATCAGGATTCTACAAAAATATTAAGCAGCACAACTGTTGTCAACATCGATAATAAGAAATGTTTCTTGAGCAGCAAATTAGCGATTAATTAAAATATTTTTCTATATGATATATCTCTGCAAACAAAATAATAAATTAAATATTCAAGTAATGTTTAAACAATGACAATTTCCATTGTTTTAACAAATAGTTCAGGCTTGTGAAAAGCGACGGAATCCTTTGAAACCAGAAATCACACAGAAAAGAATGAAACTGTTATAAAAACATCACATTTGGTGGCATATAAACGTGATGCCACTGAATATATTATTGAATAAATACAATAAAATCAACCTATTACTTCCATGCATTCAATATTCCAGAATACAAAAGGATTCAAAGACATTTGTACATCTCTGAAGTTGTTAATACATAAAATACTTATGTTTTACATGCTGTCAGTACATTAAAAATACATTTCAGTGTATGAAAACATGTACAGTCCAGGTGGAGGACCACTTCTGACCACCCCATCATGTCCCCTTCAATGTTTTAATAATATTTATAGTCAGTTAATTAATGGAGTTGATTGATTAACAAGTCAATTACATTTTTGGTCAATTCTACTTATCAACTCACTAATCAACTTCTTTCATGGACCTCCAGTGGTCTCCAGTTTCAAAGCATTGGTACAGAGGGAGGTTTGAGATTGTTTTGGGAGTGGGGAAGATTGGAAGCTCTACCTCAGTCTTTATGATTGCATTTCAGGCAGTAAACAAGACTCACCCCACGGGGATACTGTGACATTGTAAAATGGAGCAAGGGCTTGTGCTGGGCAGTCACTTCAGAAGCATTGTTTTTTAAAACTTTTATTGAACTATTTGCAGCTGCCTTGGCCTGCACATAAATCCATTATGGCAACATTTTAAACGTCAGCATCTGCTTGCATCCTCTTCTAAATGTTAACTAGGCCTTAATGTGATTTTACACCCAGGCATAAGTTGCACGAGGGCCCAAAGGAAACAGATTAGAAGGGAGTCACCCCAGAGAGAAGGTTATCAGTACTGTGCACCAGAGAGATTGTCAGATAGCTAACAATAAAACATCCTGATCCAGGAAAGACCATTGATGAACCCCATTGAGGGGCACCGTGGTGTGGCTCCTCTAAAAAAAATAGGAGCACACTTTACAACTTATCGTAGAACAAGTGCAAAATGATTATCTGCTAAGGAAAGTAACTATCAGTAGGTGGATGCTACATTTTGAAGGAAAACTTGGGCCCTGCAGGAGGGCTGTGGTTTGCGGCTATGCACTAAACAGGCAGACGTTAACGGCCCAGCCACCGTTTTGACAGACAGACAGCAGCACGAGTCGCTACCCTCAAGGTATTCAACTAATCTTTCAAGTGGGAAATTAATCTTCCTTCTGCTCACAGAGAAGAATAAAGACCGTTTTGTCTGAACCCAGTGAAGTTTACCATAATCACAGCTTAACTAAAGTTGGGAAGATTGAGTTGTAAGAACTTGACAGTGCAGTGAACTTACTTTTTTCTTCTTCTTTTTTTTTTTTTTGTTGCCAAGAATACATTGAACCAAAAGATCTGACTAAGTGAGAAGTTTCATGTTGAAAGAATAGAGTTTAAAAACGAATAGGGTGAATAGTCTATTTCCACAGCATTCATATAATGTAACCACAGAACAAGACTATGAACTTACCACAGAGACAATCCCAGGGAGCAACCTAGGATCAAGTACCTTATTACGGTTTTGTGCCCTACTTAAATGGCGTACTTGAATTAAACCAGGAACCTCCCAGTTACCAGCCCTGAGAAGCCACCACACCATCCAAAAACAGGGCTGTGTGCGAGAGGAATTAGATATAACTTTTCAATTGACCCTTTGAAATGATCTCTTATTTGAGCCCGTAACATTAAAATCAACTCAATGAAAGAGGCAAATGAATAAAGTGGTACTATGATATTTTTCCTATAAAGACCACTCTTTTAAAGAAAGAGGAACTAGTAACATTTTGCTGAGCACTTACTAGGAATGCGAATGATTAATCAAAGATTGATTAATTGCTTGTAAGAATTCAATCGATTAAGCTTACAGATTGTCTATTGTCTAATCAATTTCAGTTCAAATGCATTCCAGTAATCATCCAAACAGATGGCAAAAACACTGCCTTTAAAATCATCCGACATTGGTGATGTATGTATTTCATGCCCGCTACACAAATGTGCACCTCTTGGCTTGCTTGAAACAGGCTCAATAACAAATGTTACTGGAGCGTTTCCTTATAAGTGAAGAGTATCTGCACTACAAATATGTAATCATATACTAGAGTACATCATGACAAGCACTTTATTTACAGTGTTGATGTTATTCTGCATCTCTATTTCTAATAAGCACTTCTCTGTCAGTTTAAATGAGCACTGTGAGTGAGGTGTCAGAGGTGAGTACACTCTGTGTCTTCAGGCATTTATGTTCATGGTCAGATGAGCAGAAGGAGAAATAGTCATGTGAAGAGCACATTTGCGTGGCACCCTTATCTGTTAACTGGCACCACACCGCTCATCACGCACAAGAAGTGTAGAAAATAACAAGACGTGATGCAACATCAGTCTAGAGCATATGCACTCGGTTGCTTCAAAAAACTTTTTTGGGGTTCCA